GCACCCTGCTAGTCCCCCCACAACCAGCCATGATCTGTCTGCACTGTATAGAGATGATATCACTGGGTCTTAAATAAGGTAAAAAATGTCATTAGCATGTTGCTGAGGGGGAAAAAAGAGAAACCAAGAAAGGCAAAACCTAGAAAGTAGGTTTTAAATTTTTGTTTTTTTTGTCACTAATTGATAGACAGATATTATTTTCTATACATAATACTTATTCTAAGAAATCAAATATAATTACTTAGTAGAGGTTTCTTGGCCAGACAGCATTTTTTCCAGCTAGCACACTAAAGACACTTAATTGGCTCTAAATTGTCAAATGCCATTTGGTGTTTTAGTTTGCTTTTAGCACATGTCCATGTTTTCATTGCAAGACCAGCAGGAAGAGGATTCTGGTCTTGAAAGCATGATGTAATTTTTTTCAATGACTACATTTTACTAATCAATTTTTACACAGGATACAGCATTATGATTATCAGAATTCTATTATCAGAGTCTATTTGAATAATCGGAATCTAGGGCTGTGAAAACAATTAGACCAGCCTTGTTCAGTAGCTAAATATTTCCACTCACTTCCCAGGGACAACATTATCACCTAAAGAGAATGTGAAGGACAATGCTGCATCAGTAAGGATGAGCTCAAGCTGCTATCCCACCAGGAAGCTGTCACTGTGGACTGCCAATCATAAGTGGCCAAGGCATGCCTTGCCCCAGAGCCATATGTTTACAAGAGGCATGTATACACACGGCTGCAGGGCAAGGACTGCCTCAGCCCTTTACGATTGGTGGTTTTTAGTGCCAGCTTCCTTGTGGGAAAGCTCAGGCTGGTTTGGACTAGTATTCAAACATGCTCATTCCTGATTATCAGGGCAAAATATGGCAATATGGATTTGACTTAAAGTGTTATAAACCCAGGACCCTACATGCACTATATCTGGTCTCCCACAGTACACAGAACATGGAAACATAATTATTTTAGTAACTATAAACTGCTAAATACCTTTTCTCATCAGAAGTTAGAGCAGTCTTGTGGCTTATAACAGTGCTCAGCCAAGCACTAGCTGAAGCTTGTAGGAGGATTTTTCTTTCTGCTCTAGGAATATGCAAAACCTGTGACCTCTGTCTGACCAGTGTTAATTGGCCCTGTGCTGATCACATACACTCTCCCAAAGAGGAAAAAATAACCCTCTCCAGCAATACACACCAAACTGAGCATGTGCCCAATGCCTATGGGTCAGTCTGTCTTATTAGGAGATAAGAGGAGGTCGTCTGGAAAAGGGGAGGAACAGAGAAGGATCAAAGGACCTTTTTACACAATGCAGAGGATTAACCTCTTAGGTTCCACAGTGAGTAGAACAAGCATGCTTTACTGCATATACAGGCTGATCTTACTGTTGTGGGTTTAGTAACACTTTAAGATATGACAAGATCTAACTTTTCCCCTGTATCCAAACTAAATAAAAATGTGTCTGTAGTTACACTTTTAGCGATAACATAAAATGATCCACAATGCTAGCTTTTTCCGAAGAGTTGTATTTTCACAAAGGCAACAATAAGTTGTAGCTGCTTTCAAATATTTTATCCAAGGTTACTTATTTTGTCTAAGCACAAGAGTATGCTTTACCCAATGAAAATATGTAATTGCTTGATATAATCAAAGTGAGTAGTCTGAAGCACAGATGAAAAGAACATCCATCATGTTTTGCTAGACTGAACACCTATGTCTGCTCTTCTGAGGCCAATGTATACTAGGAACCATAATAGAAGTTAGCTGGCCATGATAAATCAATAGTCACTATTACAGCATCCAACCTTTTCTATTACAATATATGATACCAAGGGGGGAATCTTCTAGCTAACAGCATCAGTGACATTGTTGGGTATAACGAAATAAAGCCAAATCAAATAAAAGATATAACACACAAGTCTTCTACTTTTATAATAATTAGAGTGGAACATGGATTTTACGTTGGATTTCAGTATCTGTTCTGGTGATACCCCATATTCTACATAGAATGGTGATTTATATTTTTTTTTCAGACTAGAGGTTGTTCAGGGTAAGGTGAAGCCAGTGTGCTGAAATGAGAACTGGCAAACATGGTCAGATCAGAGAACAGCCCTATGTCTATGAGCCATCCAATCACAGGAGAAAAATTGAGTTTCCATCAGCAGGGTATGACTTTCTTGGTTGAAAGTAATCATTCCTTTAAGATTAAGGGAGAAGTATGGTCAAAGAATTATGGACGCACCCAGATGTCTAAACAGCAGCTGGCTCAGCCTCTCAGCGCGCTGCCCCCCCCCCCCCAGCTCAGTGCTCCAGTGAGCTCTGGAGAGACAGAGCAAAGATCCAGTGACTGACAGTCACCGATCTCTGCTCACTGAAGACCAAGAACTGAGCGATCAGCATTCAAATGTACAGCTTTCGGGAGACAGTGTAGCATCAGATCGAGCATCAGGGGCTTTTTTTTTATCTGATACAGCACTTCTCTTTGAAGTCAGGTCTTTTTTAACCCTGGTCTCTTCTAACCCTGAATGATTTTTTTTTTATGGCCTTTAGACTGTGATCTCATGTCTACATGAACCAGCAACACAAAGTGAGGGGAAATCTCATACAGCAATACAAGTAATTCACCTCTTTCCCAACCTATCCAATACCAAAATGTGGTCCAAGTTTTACTTTAATTGGCGTTTACTTAAAAAAAAAAAAAAAAAAGCTGGCTCTCAAAGTGCTGTCTTGACATTTGTGACTCTTACAAGTAAGTAGATTCATCTAATATGGCCTTAAAGTAACAGCATAAATATGCATCAGTCTTTTTGTAGCAGTTCTTAAAATTCTTGGGTGTAAACATGGGTTGTTGCTCTGTAAATTTGGAGAAGTTTATGACTGACGAATGTATTCAGTTTTTAGTACTCACTGGTTTAAAACAGGTGTGTAGGAAGTCTTATCCTCATCAATGATAGTGACCATAAGAGTAATGAGGTTTGGCCAAAAATCCAAATTTTTAATTGTCGGACCTTGTTCTTCTTTTGGAATGTCTTGCTTCTTACCCTATAAAATATTATAAATTAACATATTAATGTTTAATCACATAATACTTTTGAAAGTGATTGCATAAGTTTAAAACACAGCATTGTACTCCCCACACTGAAGTGCCTGGATGGCGTGAAAATTCTTTCAACTTGGTTTCTGCTGAATTGCAGCACGTACTCACAAATGTATTAATCTTATACATTAATGAACCTCTATGGGAAGACAAAAACACTTTACTTTGGTCTAAAGTTTGCATTCATTCTCTCTTGATCAATAGAGCATACAGCTTTCAACTCTATTCCGAAGAAATAGATTACCACTTTTACAATCTGGCAATTAAACGTTTTGCTTGTTAAATGGACAAGAATCTGGTAACATCATGTAAAATGTTAATGTAATCTTGCCTTTTTACACATTTTGAAGTACGGTGTTGGCAAAAACCACAGATTGGATCCCATTTTATGTTAGTTAACATGAAGTAGGCAGCAAGCGAGTTTTAAAACAATAATAAACTATCCAATTTTTTAATTTTGTCATGCACATTTTAGACTACAACACAAAACTTCACTACAAACCCCCCCCACCCAACACACAAACACACAACGACCAAAGAGACAAATGCACCTCCACACACAATTTAATAGAGAAGCAGAGAACAAGGAGCTGTTCTACAGACTGCAAAAGTACATATTTTAACCTGGAATTTTAAGGATGTAATTTACAGGCTTACTTTATCTTTCTGAACATGGTCAGAGGCTACAGCCCCCCAATCCTCATTTCCACCTCCCCCCATTTGCAGGAGCAGGGGGTTCTTCTGTCAGAAACTGCCAAACTTAAATTGACAAATATTGGAGTGGCTGTGAGTGATTCCAACTGCACAGTCGCATCATTCATTCACAAGAAGTTGGAACACAAGTTCAATGGAACACAAGTAAGGTGATGTCAGTTTAGTGACAGTTCCTGTTGCCCTGGGTGTGTTTATTATTTTGTTTTCAAAATGATGGACTTAGCCTTTTATAGAGTTATTCTTTATTGGTCCACCCATAGCATCCTCTCCAAGTCTTTTTCTTACCTGTCCCCACTCCATTGAGATCTCCTCTAGCCACCACATGTTCTTCTCCAGAATTCTCCAGGCCAGGTTCTACTTCTTCCATGTATGCTCACCACAATTTCCAACCACTCTCAGAGAAAGGTCGCCTATCTTTCATTACAACAGTGGACAGTAATCACAGGGATCAATGGAGTCAATGGAGATTGCATGCATGGGAAAAATCAAAGTCCATTCCCGAAATCACTTGAGAAGAGATTGTGTGGCTCCCAGCAGGCCTCATAGAACAGATCTCAAAGAAGTGCAGGCAGGTAAGAGTCAGACTTGGGGGATGTCACTTAAGGGATAATTTATAAAAATATGTAATCTTTTAAATTAGGTTTGTTCTTTTGGGCACTTTGCAGATTATGTGGACTCTAGAAATATTGAAATCTACATTTTTATTACTTTTTCCTACTTACTAGTTTACTTTTATGAATATTACTTTTTAATGACGAGGTGCTCAGCTAAAAGTGAAAAACACAAATGCACCCTTTCTTGCTCGTCCCTTAAATCAAGGCCACATGCAGTCAAAGTTGCATTTATATTTTTTCTAGTTCAATCTTAAAGTGCATGTAAGTGTATGAATATCTTTTAAAAGATCCAGTTTGGTCTTTTTTAACCACTTGCCTACCGGGCACTTTTACCCCCTTCCTGCCCAGGCCAATTTTCAGCTTTCAGCGCTGTCGCAATTTGAATGACAATTGCGCGGTTATGAAACAGATAGAGGTTTCTTTTGGTGGTATTTAATCACCTCTGGGTTTTTTATTTTTTGCTAAACAAAATTTTTGAAAAAAGTTTCTTAGTTTCTTTTATAACATTTTGTAAATAAGTGATTTTTCTCCTTCACTGATGTGCGCAAATGAGGCTGCACTGATAGACGGCACTGGTAGGTGGCACCGATGGGCATTGACAGGCATCACTGATGGGCACTGAAAGGCAGAACTCATATATGGCACTGATAGGTGGCACTGACTGGCACTAATAGTTGGCACTAAAAGGCAGCTCAGATGGGCACTGATATGTGGCATTGATGGGCACCGGTAGGCACTGATATGTGGCATTGATGTGGCACTGACAGGTGGTATTCACTGAAAGGGCACTGATTGGGCTACACTGATCATCAGGGCACTGATCATCAGTGCCCTGATGATCAGTGTACATGTCCCCTCTGAGGAATGCCAATAACTGACATTTCCTTATTTACATGCGATCAGCTCATCACGACAGACCCAACGTCATCGACTCTTTCCGCTGATCAATGATCCGCTGTGTCCCAGGGACACAGCGCACCACCGATCACCACGCTGCGTGCAGTTAGAGTGGATGGACGCCATACGACGTCAACAAGAGGACTGCCTTCTGTCTATCATTTCCTTATATAGTGGGCAGGAGGCGGTTAATATACCACCAAAACCATTTTTGCATATGTTCTATAAGTGCCCAAAAATACTGGCTGATCTTGCCATAAATCCAGTGAGCATGTTACTTTCTGCCACTGCTGCACTGATATTAGCTGGTACTGTTTTCAGCTCTGCCAAGTTCTTTATGGGTCAAATAATGCCCCACCCCATGTTATGGAGGTGTAGAGAGGGGGAAGTGTTCTGTAGTCCTAGCACACTTCCTGGCCTAAGGTAACAGCAATATTGTTCTATATTGTTCTATAGATATAGTACAGTGAGTGTTGCCACCATAGGACAGGAAGTGTATTAGTGGCAGGATCACAAAGTGAAAAAAAGGCTTTAGAGAAAACTAATGCAGCAGCCACATGCTGTAAATGGATGGTATAGCTATAATATAATTATTTTCCTTTTTGAGTTTAGATCAGCTTTTCTGGTTATAAGATACAGTATCTTATATGGTTATGAGCTATGAGCAGTTACTGAAAGAACATGGTCATGGGTGTATGTACAGAAAATTCAACTTATGAGGAAACTGATACATGGCAGTCTGGCTGACCGGTTTCCGTTGAAGTGGTTCAGGCGCCTTATAAGAATGACCACTTAGAGATTTATAGGCCATATTCAGCTGGGAGCAAGATCTAGAACAGAGTGATAATATATGTCTTGGACAGCCTCATAATGTCTTAGAATTCTCTAGTAATAGCTGGAGTCATGGCCAAATGAAGAGACTTGACTTGACATGTTTAACTTGTTCATTCCACAGTCTCTAGATGATTAAATGGTCTGAAGAGGAATCATTTACATTATCTGTAAAGTGTTATCGGTAAACAGTATGTTATGACGTGGGATTTTTGAATGAATGAATTTTCTAATTTATATAAAACAGATATGTAAATAGGTTTCTCTGACTTTGACCTAGGGAGGCAAACTGTTGATAGACCCAAGGCACAATTTGGGACTGTCTGGCAATGAGCTCCTGCATTGGCATAATAATTGTCATGGGTTATTTTACTTCTACTTTAGGCTACCAATAAATGGATCGAAATTTGGTCCATTCAGTAAAGACCTACTGTGTTTCTTTTTTTTAAATTTAAATATTTATTAAATTTTTCATATTAATACAAAAACCCAAAAAGGGAAATAATTCTCATACAAATAGACAATTATATAACCTTTCCCTTTTACTAAAAACTCTTTTCCCTCCCGTCCCACTACCCCCCCCTCCCGCCCCTCCTCCCCCTCTGCAGACTCTAGCCCTTTCTAATCTCTTGAGGCTTATTAATTTTTTTGCTAACATCCTAGTTCATATCTTCCTATATTTCTCTTTCAATCCTGCTCTTTCCCACTTTTCCCATCTCTTGGAATAAACTCTCATCCTATCTTCTTGCATATGGTATGATCTTTCCATTCTACCTATCTGGTTTACTCTATTAATCCAGTCTACCTCCTTCGGTACCTCAGCTTTCCGCCAAAACTTGGGTATCAACCCTTTCGCCGCATTCAAGAAGTACCAAATACCTGAATCTTTATATTTATTTACAGATGTCTCCACATTGTGTAGGAGGCACGTTGTTGGGCCTAACCCTATGTCAATTCCAGTTATTTCTTCAATTAATTTAACTATTATCTTCCAAAAAGCCTGGATTTTCGGACATTCCCACCATATGTGAAACACCGTGCCTATCTCTCCACATCCTCTCCAACACATATTTGAGTTTTCCCCATTCATCTTGTGCTCTACACTCGGTGTAATATGTGCCATCGTGTCACACACTTATAATTAACCTCAACCTCTCTCATACTAACATTATCGTGTATCAATCTAAACATCTTTCTCTGTCTATCTTCATCAAACCCAACTCCCATATCCCTTTCCCATTTTGTCATAAAAATTAACTTTGTGTTTGTGTCTAATTCTGTGAGTATTCTATACACTTTTGAGATACCGTGCTTCCCATCCCTTCGTGTCTCTAACAACCTTTCAAACATATTCCACTCCCGTTTTATTCTCAGGGGTTTCGGTAGGTTTCCAATAAAACTTTTCAATTGATGATATTTCCACTCATCTATTCTAATAAAAATATCTCCCTTCTTCTCTATTAACTCTTTAAGTGATCTCAATTCTCCCTCCACCAAAACATCTCTCAATTGGGTATCCTCCTTTCTAAACCATCTCCCTGATATCTTATCCTGTCCCGGGGGGAAGTACTCAGTATTTGTGAGAGGCATTAATATAGAGTTAAATTCCCATTTCATGTTTTTGTGTAAATTGTCCCATACCCTAAAGACATTTAAAGTGTAGATACTTGTGCTTTCTTTAATTCCCCTGAACTGTGGTGGAACCCATATTATCTGACTCAATCTATTGCCACTAAGATCATTTTCAATTGTTACCCAGCTTTTCCCCTTATGGTTAAATGTCCAGTCATATATTCTTGCTAAAACCACTGCTTTATAGTATCTCTTGACATCTGGTAGGCCCAATCCCCCTTTCTCTTTAGTCCTACCCAATGTTTCATATGCTATTCTAGGTTTTTTATTCTTCCAAATATATCTTGTTAACATTTTTTTCATTATCTTAAAGAAGGCTTCTGGAATTTTAATTGGTACCATTTGAAATCTATACAGTATTTTAGGCATAATTACCATTTTGACTAGGTTTATACGTCCTATCCAGGATGGATTTCCTCCTTCTAGTCTTTTTAAATCTTCCCTGATCTCATTTATTAAAGAGATATAATTTAATCTATACAAATGCTTAGATGAGGCAGTGAGTTTTATTCCTAGGTATTTTATCTCTTTTTCTCTCCATATAAAGGGGAATTCTTTTTGTAGTTTTTCTTTTTCATTCTTTGGTATATTAATATTCAGGATCTCTGTTTTCGTTGGATTAATTTTTAAATTTGATAGTTCACCATACTCCTTCAGAATCTTCATTATATTTGGGAGAGTTATTCGGGGATTCCCCACATAGAACAATAAGTCGTCCGCAAAGGCCGCTACTCTATGTTCTATGGATTCTATCTGAATTCCCTTTACCGATCCACTATTTCTTATTATTGACAACAGAGGTTCGAGTGACAATACATATAGCAGAGGGGACAGTGGACAGCCCTGTCTTGTACCATTAGACATTCCGATGGGTTCTGATCTCTCCCCATTTACCGTGATGATTGCAGTAGGCTCCCTATATAATTTACTTATCCACTCTCGCATTCTCTCATCTATCCCCAGCACTTTTAAGTTGTCCATCATAAAGCCCCAGTCCACTCTATCAAATGCCTTTTCTGCATCAATTGACAAGAGCACCACCGGGGCTTTCCCCTTTTCTACTTTTCTGAATAAGCATCAGGGTTCTCAAGCCGTTATCTCTACCTTCTCTCCCCGGTACAAAGCCCACCTGGTCTCCATGATCCATTCAGGCATCAGATCCCTCAACCTGTTTGCTAACACCTTTGCATACAGTTTTAGTGTCTCCTGTTCAATAATGAGATAGGTCTATAGCTGGAGCACCTGAGATGGATCTTTTCCCTCCTTGTGAATAAGTACTACATGGGCCTGTAGTATTCTATAGAAACAAGAAAAATTCATATATGGTGCTAAGGTAAATAACACTTCACTAAATCACTTATATATTATATATAAAATATATATACTATATAAACAAGTGTTGTGCTTAGTCATGCATTTTAGACCTCTAACATAAGAACAGGGGCACGTGAATAAATGCTTGTGATGGTAAACAAAAAAAAAAAAAAAAACACCATGCAAAGGAATGTAAAATTCCTACAAGTGACAGAGGTGCATAAATTACAGTCCACTACACACAAAGACTGTGATCCTTGAACAAGCGTGAAAGTGCCACTGGTGTCACTGGTGCCACAATCCAGAAATGGTAAGAGTGCCTCCTCACCTCCCCGCACTGACCACAAGGGCCAATACGCCTTTGCACCTTATAGGTGTAAACTCCTCGAGTGCCAGCCTTTACAAGGTCCACACTGGATGCTACCTCAGACGCTGTTATCCCCTCTTATGCCACCTCCAGCTGCAAATAGTGGTGGTATTAAACCACCCCGATGATGCTCAGAGACATAAGAAGAGACTTGCCATAGCGTGATACCGCAATATTTATTGATAAAACTGTATAAAAAACAGAATGCCCACTCACATGTCCATAATAGGTGAATACAGCCTTAGAATAATCCTCCTGTATTTTTCCTCGTGCTATGGGTGTAGTACCCGGAGTCCCAATATGGCGCGTATGCGTCGGGAGTGACGTCACCGCGTACCGGAAGTGTCGTCAGGGCGTACCAACGCGTTGCGTCACGAATACCACGTGACTTCATCAGGGTCATCAGACCCTGATGAAGTCACGTGGTAAAATCGTGACGCAACGCGTTGGAACGCCCTGACGACACTTCCGGTACGCGGTGACATCACTCCCGACGCACGCGCCATATTGGGACTCCGGGTACCCCATAGCACGAGGATACAGGAGGATTTTCTAAGGCTGTATTCCTATTATGGACTGTGAGTGGGCATTCTGTTTTTTATACAGTTTTTATCAATAAATATTGCGGTATCACGCTATGGCAAGTCTCTTCTTCATGTCTCTGAGCATCATCGGGTGGTTTAATACCACCACTTATAGCAGCTGGAGGTGGCATTTGGGATAACAGCGTCTGAGGTAGCATCCAGTGTGGACCTTCTTGTACCGGCTGGCACTCGAGGAGTACACCTTATAAAGGTGCAAAGGCGTAT